AGCTTCAGCATAGACAAGACACTTAATAAAAGCCCTCTCTAAGGCCCCTGGCACATGTTTATTTCATGGCATCACAGGGTCTGATCCCCAGTCCTAAAAATCACACCTCCTGCCAGGCCACACATGCATGGCAGGAGGTGCGGTTTGGGGTGGGGGATCCAATCCCACTCCTGCCCTTTCCACTTGACAGTGAAAGGGGAATGCCAGCGCTCCCCTGCTCTGACAAGTTGAAAGACGGATGGGCCCCCAGGTTGGGGCCACAGTCAGGCCCTGGGACTGCACCCGGGCTTTCACCCAGCCCTCGTGGGATCCCAGGCTGGGGCTAACAATCAGCTGATGGTTGACCTGGGCCCTGTACCTGACATTCAATGTAAGGCACATTACAAACCAGCCACAAGAAATGCTCAACATACAACATTCTTATGGCTGGTTTGTCACTTTATGGCGTCTGAAACTGGATTCATGTGGAGCACCCTTGCCATTCATGCTGCAGTCAACATGTTAACCATGGCATAAATGTGATGTGCAGAGAGGGTCTAAAGGTAAGGCCCTTACACTGAAACACACCTTTACAAATAAGCTAGCAGGCAGTTGGCAGGACAACTCTATAACTAAAAGGTCAGATTCCATTTTAGAACTGCAAAATGTTGCCCAATATTCAATGAGATTTGTCTTAGTGAACAACAAAGAGATACATTAAACCTAGTGCGCTTTCAGAACTGTGCCAAGCACAAACCGATCAGTGTTTTTCATCACCAGAAAGCCATTCACTTCACTGAAGCTTTGCCTTGGCTTGATTGTTAATTAAATGGTAAATATTCTCGCATGAAAAGTATCCCGAATGCCTTACAGTTTTTTGGGTTTTTTTTTAGTAATTAAGTAAGAGGACAAGCTTAAAAACATACTGCTCCAATGAACAGTATTAGTGGAGGTAAAGTCTAAGAGCACAGTAACAATGCAATGCCAACAGGCAATCTGTGTGAAGCGTTCCAAGCATATTAATAGTCTTTGAAGCTGATCAGTGAAGAGTGACTGAAATTAAAGAAATTGAGAAAATAATGACTTTTCATGCCATCCACAGGAGCAGCAACCTCTTCAGGATTCTTGCACATAAGCACGTTAACACCTGAGATGTCAAGATAATAAGATGCAAAAAGAAGCCACTGTAGCATGACATGCCTGGCATAAAGTCATGACCTTAAGCTCAGCCACAGGACCCATCCCAGGGTGCTCACTGATTAATAATGCATGCTCCCAGACTCAGCTCCATCTCTGCTAGCTTAGACAGGCTACTCCTTCATTTCCCAGTCCTCTTGCCAGCTTTCTGTAACCGCCTGGATCACTTGGAGACCTTAACCTCCCTTTTAAGAAGGCACAAAAAACACTGATGGGAGTTATATTAAGGAAAACAAGTTATATTAAGCAAAATTATAACTACTTATCTTTTCTTCCTGTTGTTCTGATGCTTAATTCTGCTAACAGCATTTTCACTAGTTTTCCGAGGCTGCATGGGTTCATTTAAAATGACAGATATTGCGTGGATACTCTTAATTTCAAAGTTCAATATTTTTGTGGGTTTGTCAGTCCTTCAGCATGGCTATCAGTCAGCAGTAGTTTCCTACTGCATGCCAAGTTCACTTAAAACATTTCTTAATATGGTTACCAAAAGAGACAAGTCTGTTCTAACATGCATTCTCGTGTAAAAACGGCCTCATGTAAAGGAATTCCTGCTGGGGTGGAGAACATAAAATACAATGGGATCAAAGGAAAAGAGCTAAAGGTTCTTAGAGCAGGTGGAGTTTTACCAAAACAGTCTGGTTTCTGCTTGTGCGGTGATATACTTACATGGGATGGTTCTCAGATAGAGGTTGTCTCTGATCACCTGCTGGAGTTTATGGTCGATGGAGCCCTTCTGGAACTGCAGGCTCAAATAGTGACGCAAATCTTTGTTGATGACTTTTCCTTAAAACAGAAAAAAAAAAATGCAATGAAAAACTAGAAGAAAATATTTCAGCCGCTGTTCAGAGCAACCGCAATGTTGTTTCATCATGTAAACACCTCTGCAAAATCCAAAACAGGCAATTACAGCTGTGGGGTTTTGAATGCACTAGTTGGAACGGTAAAGGCCCTTGTAAACTCCTCAGCTGCTATGAACTGGAATGGCTTCAGTGACTTCCACCTAAACGGAGCTACAATGATTTATCCCAGCTGAGGATCTGACTCCTAGATAATTTCATGCCCACTTATCTGGCCTTACATTAGACGAAGAGGTCCTGGGAAAAGGCCCATACATTTTGGTCAGGACAGGTACAATGTTCAGACTACAAAACTAAGATGCGATTGATAAGAAAGCAGACACAATTTTTTTATGAAAATGTCAAACCTCATTCAGGTTTTATCAGTTTTTTATGCAAATGTTTCTGAAGTACTAATTCCAGATGTAGAAACTCCTCCAGGCAGGCTTTAAATGGCTGTTCTATATAGCAGGCCTTGCTGATCAGGCTTGTCAACTAATCCTTGAAGTAATTCCCCTGTCAAGAACCTGTGCATGTGCTCTACCAGCTTTCCTGCTCTGTACTGGGATGTGCCTGGTGTACACGAGCCCATAATGCCCTTAGCTCATAATGCAAGGGCTACTTATTATTACAGTATATCAGTCAGCAAAAACAATCTATTATCTAGTTACCATAAATAAACAGATTCCAGAGAAAGTAATGAATATCCTGAAGATGAATCAAGATGGAAAGTTTTGCATATACCAGGTTGGTAGAGGTTAAAATGCATCCTTTGCATAGTTGTTTCCAGTCCAGCTAGATAACAATCTTAAATTATATCCGTGGGCTAAAGACCTTTGATATTGTGATTTTTTTTTTTGCCTCTAATAAACTAGAACAGAATGGCATGCATTAAAAAAAAAAAAAAAACTCTGGGAGTAAGACAAAACCTAGTCCCCCCAAAACAAAACATTACTCCTCTATTCTGCAAACTATTTTTTCTGTAGTACATCCTACTGCTTTATCCAAGTTCACGTGTAATGCAAAATAAGAATGGTTCTAAAAACAGTACATTTAGAATTCCCTTAATCAGTTGGAGCTTTTTTCTACAAAGCATACATACTGATGTTGCTTTAATTGTCTGTTGCAATTAAAAGAATCAGATCTTAACTGCCAAAGACCCAAGATACACAAAACCCAAGTACATGAGCTAATCAAGTTAATCAGGAAACAAGGCTGCAGTATAACAGAATGAACACAGGGAATGAGAACTTGTGTGTTCGATCCCGAATTCTTATCAGCACCAACTTGCTGCATGTCCTTGAGCCTCAGTTACCCACCCACTTGTAAAGTGGTGATAATACTCCTTAAATGTGTTCTGAGATCTATAGATAGGCTAAAAGCGTTGTTGAAATGCAAAATATTAATATTACAATTAATTACCAGTTGAAGGGCAACACATCCATCAGGCAATGACAACACTTCCTACTGAATTTGAATCATTAAATTATGTATCTAAAGCCCCTGACACGTTACATTTAAGGTGTGATTTACAGGTCAACTACGCCTTAAACAGCAACCCAACCACACATGGAACTCAGTGATGCAGTAAATGAGCCACAAAGTTATTCACGTATAACTTTCCGGCTAGCTTGCATCACGCCTTAAACTGAGCGTGTGGCTGGGACCTGTACGAGACCAATCGCTGACTAGGATTCTGCATCCCTGGTGTTTTAATAATAATAATAATAATAATAATAGTAATAATAATAATAATGATGTTTTTGTAAAAAAAAATTGTGTTACAGAAAATCTTTTTTAAAATTATTCCTTTCTGTGACACTCTTGCCAGGTATCATTAGCAAACTTGTCACATCTCCAGATAACCACTGCCCCTCTAGCACACAAATAACTGAGCCCTTGCATTACTGCTTCATTCTTCTGACAGAAGGGTACAAAGCAATCTATTGTACCCTGTCATCTTCCAGAAAGCGCATTAACTAGGGTTCAGTGAGCTTTGCAAATTAAAGTTATGTACTTTATCAGAATGCCCAAGTCTTTAGGTAGAAGGGATTTAATGATCATTTGGTTTTAAAGCCTACAAAGAGAGTGGCTGGTAAGATGTGTGCGCCAGTGAATCATAACAATAAGGGCACCAAATTTACACCCACAGTTTTCTTTCCAACTTATCGTATGACAGGACCTATGGGTCTAGAAATGTGACCAGCAACCATAAGAGCTGAACAAAAGCTGCAATGCACTGAAACAGCTATTTAGCTTATAACCTCTTTGGACAGCCAGCAGCGCGCAAGTTGAATCGCACCCAGCACTCTGGGAATCTCTACCTGATGCGAGGCCACAAGACACTACTGGAATGCAAACGGTAAAAGTACTAGCAAGCAGAAAAGGATTGAACAAGATATTTTCCACATTCGTGTTCATTAATTCCTATTCAGCTACAGCTAGTAATTAATAGCATCAACAGTTAGAAATATAATTTTAAATGACTGCAAAAGAATAAAGCTGTCATGAAAGGGTGATTCTAACAGGAATCTGAAAAGGCTGCTGCTACCTAGCTGGGGAAGATGATGTCTCAAAGTAGCTAAAAGAGTGTCATAAGCATGGCAGTCCCCATTCAGACTCATCGAGAGGGCCGTTTCCAGGTGAAGATGAAACAAGCGTTTCATAAATGTGAACCACTACGATTCAACGGGGAGTTGCAGCTGTTGTTAAGAAGCATTTTATACCATGGCTGACCAGCACCAGCAGCACGTGACAACTCAGTTTTCCCAGAACAAGCCAAACCACTGCAGAGTTGAAAGTGCACTTTACTTTTGGCAAGTTAAACACTTTTCTGCTTCAGGGGCAGTGGATAGATAATTCCTGGCATGTCATCACATTTAAAAAAGGACGTGAAGATAGCTTGTGAAAAGGATAAGTGACAGCCGCAGCACAGATGATGAAGCGTGGGCCCAGGGAAGGCTGTGGTCTAGCCACCAGAAGACAGGCAGCAGAGGGGGAAATAATCCAGGAGGACAGGGCACTAACGCAGAGCTATTAGCCAGATAGTAGTTAAGTGTTTGAAGCCCAAACACAGCAAGACCAAAAGAACTAGGAGCAGAGAAGAGAGAAAGAGAGATTATTTGTAATCACAGTGGTCTGCTCAGTAGAAAGCAATTTCTGAGCGAGGAGGAGGATAAAGAATAGCTCTGCAAAGTTCCATTTCTGAATGCGACATTAATCAAGAATTTATATTAGAAGATTCAAAATGTAATATATAGTTCTCAAGGCACTGAAAAAAGCATGTGCTGGCACAGTATTAAACTATTACATGGCAATTTATTTTTTAAGTATTCAATCCACTCTGCATAATCAGCAGCCACGTTCTCTGAAGTCTGTCAGTTAAAACTTCCTTTTTTCCCCTCCCCCAGCATCCAATTTTAGGTACGAATGAGCTTGCAGAGCCTTTGCCTCATAACAATTTACTAGTAAATAAAACTGTTCTCTGCAGTCTTTAGTTTATAGCTTTTTCTAATTCAGTGGTGGTTAGCAAATAACCATAATATGCATTGATGGGGTGAGATAAACTCAGATTTGGCTTCTTTTCCCCTGTTTTTTTAGACTGGGAGGCTGGCAGAGGCTGCACACAGAGAAGGACATCATCCACTGCTTGAAAAACCCCGATGGTCTTACCAAAGGCAGCCTCCTTGCCTGGATCCAAAGTGGCTCTGTTCACTTGTGAACCGTAGAGGAGGAGATACTGGTCCATGTGGCGTGAAACTTAGCAGAAAATTAAATGATGCGTTTGTAGATGGGACATTAGGGAAGTATAAACTTTAAATCACAGCAATTATTCTTTTCTTTATCATTCTCAGGTCTTTGTGCTACAACTAGGTAACCTGACATACTTTTCTGATATGGGAATTGTGAGGCTTAATATCTGTAGTGAGCTGAAAATAAAGCACTACATAAACAGTATTTTTTTTATTTTAGCACACAGACAACAGAGGAACTGGATCTCAGGAGCAGCTGGCTTGTGAACCCTTGCAATCCACGAACAGATGGTGTGTATGTGCAGGTATTAATGCTCCAGAAACCCATTCTTACAAACACAGGCTTTACCTGAAGTGCAGAAAACTCATTTTCAAATACAGAATGGATCTGAGCTACATACAACACTCAGCAGTTTCCCCTCCAAAATACTTGCCTCATAGCTCCATAAATTTACAGGTGCCTGCCAGGCCCATACTGCAAATGCACTAAGATCAAAGCTCCAGTTTTCTAAATGCATAGGACATTCTACTTCTTAAAGCCAGTAATTTGGGCTACTTGAGGCTATTTTGTAGGGCTGAGCACAGATAAGTACTCTCTCTGAAGGAGAGAGAGAATGAGCACGAGCATGTGCACACATGCGCAAAGGTTAACGACATGGAAGACAATAATGCAATTAAATTATGTCCTTGATGCCATCTGGTTTTAGTTAGTCTCTCTCTTGTGGCCCAGTAAAATTCTGGGTAAAGGAAAATATCCCAATTAAAATGTACAAAACTGCTGCTACAAATGACACCTAAACAGGTGACTTTCATCTTAACATTGTCTTTCCCTTCTGAAAGCAGCAACGAATGAAGAGTAGCCTGTAGAGTAACACACAGTGATCAGCAATAGCTTTCAGCTTCACAGCAGTTTGTGTTTCTAGGCCATTTAAACAATAATTTTAGAAGCATATTAAGGATGACATGGTAGAAGCCTCACAGGTGCTAGAGAATGATTATTTTATCAGCTCCTGGTTTCGCCAAGGGGGGCGGCAGCGGATGTTCCAACATGAAACTTGAAAGACTTGCTACCACACACCTTGGTTTAGCTGTCTTTGTTGCCAAGGCAGTGGGCATGTTATGAACCAAATTCCCCTTTTTTTTTTGCTATCATGAGCTGTTCTATATAAAGTTTTGGATTTGCTTCCCGCAGGAC